AAATTTTAAAAAAAGTGACTAATTTAAAAAAATAACACATTAAAAAAGTTGCACACATTAAAAAAAAAGTGACAAACACTTGACAAAATTCAAAAAAAAAAAAAAAAGTTACACAAACTAAAAAAAAGTGACAATCACCAAGGATAACGGAAAAAAAGTGGCAAAAAAGTTACACATGATGGGCTAACTGTCCATGACAAAATCGAAGAGTGTTGGAGCGAAAATGTTGGTTTTTAGATTATCACATCCTACATGTTTCATACCAAAAACACCAGAGAAAACTATATATAGATTTTCACAAAATAAACTCCTCTCATGTAGAAAACATATAAGAGAAGGGCTTGTGCAGTTGGCAACAGATAAGGCTCTAGTATCTGATCCCGCCTTCCGCCCTCTTGTCGAGAAATATGCAGCGGTTTGTAGATCTGTATGTATTGCATTAGTCTTCCACACTTGTATATGCTGTTGTCTTTGCTCATATTTTGCTGTTCCGTGACAGGACGAGGATGCCTTCTTTGCAGATTACGCTGAGGCTCATCTAAAACTTTCTGAATTGGGGTAAGGAGTTTCCACAGCAGTTACAGTTCTTGTATTAGAAGGTTTCATTTGTTCATACCCTGTTTGCCTTTTGCAGTTTTGCTGATGCCTAAGAAAAACTGGAATGGTGGCCTATAATTTGATGGAACCATTGGATTATGAATTTGGTAGTTGCAATCAATGATCATCAACTCCCTCAGAAATAAACAATGAAATCCTTTCCTTCTTTCATTATTAACATTTCCAACTCTTTAATTTCCTTGAAAGGCGTATAATAAAGCCCGAGCTTTATTATTTGACAATGTAATTGCATTCCAACAGACAAATCGTATGTAGGTTCACTAGCCCCCAATAATCCTGCAAAAGTAAAGGTGATGAAGATGGAGAGATGCTTGACAAGGAATTGGCAACCACCTCTCCTACAACGGCGAGAAAAATGAGTGCAAGAACAATTGAGACATTTTGTCAAACATCTTGATGGTATCTTAGAAAATCAAAGGAAATAGTTCACCATAGTTTTGGAGCTAATCCCAAATTTAACGACAATTTTTTTATGCATTTATACACAAACTCATCAGCTTATACTAAAATTGATTGATCACATGAGCATCAGAGCTAAATTACTTGAATTTTGTGCTGGAATTTACATGGATAGCAATAAACAGTGAGTAAGGAAGCAAACCTTTGGGCCAAACATGGAAGCAGCATTTTGGGTTCCAAAAGAGACCAAATCACATGCACCAAATGAAGAGTTACTCATTATTCTGTTGCAACATGTTCATATAACACTCTCTCCACTCCCAATTGAACTCCATCGATTTTAGCAGCCATGAATTGGTCGTATTCAGGGGTCGGGAGATTTTGGAGATTTTATAACGTATTAATTGCGTTTTTAAATAATTTAGTTAGTTAATAGGGTATTAATCAAATTAGTTAATTTTTTAGGGTATTTGGCCTAATTTTCCCTTCATAAATTATCTTAAAATGAGTCCCATCTGCCCATGGACCAAATACGAGCAGCTAAATCCATTTGCCACTTCTATGTGTACTTGAAAATAATCTCGTAATGAAGGATCTATATGGCACAAAACTGAGTGTTTTGGACTCAAGTGCATAGATACCAACTACCGTTAAATTACTCCATTTGGATTATGCTAAATGTACATAATCCTTTACAAATATTCTTTACACCCCTCTTACATGGGGGGCCACACACAATAAAATATTCGTAGGTCCCCTTAATGTGAGAGTGGTGTAAAGGATTGTGTAAACCACCGAGCGTATATGTAGCACAAATCAATCCACTCCATTTTCCGCAGTACTGTAGCCCCGTAGTTTTTGATATCAGCTACCCCACACAACCCCTCTATCTCTCTCTCTCCAAATCCAGGTTTTTCTCAACCAGTGCCACTAAACTCTACCGATCTCGTGACACCCTAAAGTTCCCTTTTTTGAATTTCAATTCCCTCTAAAAACATCCGATTGTAGAGGCTCACGCGATCTCTTTTTACTAGTAATAAGTTTCTTTCATTTTGTGTGTGTGTGTGTGTATTAAATTTTAGTAATGTTTCATAATCATGCTGATTAAGATATGTTTATAAGTAATATGTTGTGCTCTGTTGAATTTCTACTCTGATTCTTTGAAACCAGAAACCAGAAGAGGTAATTGGTAAGGTTAAAACAGTTTTTCATCTTTTTATAGCAAGGTATCAGTGATTTAGGATGTACAACAGTTTCCTGTAGTAGGTTTTTTTTTCAACTATTGTTCTTTGATGTGGGGGAATGAAAATTGATCATGCGTTATATGTAATTAGATGAAATTGTACATTTGGAAGTGAAGTGGAAGTTCCATATTTATTACCAGAGTTTTGAATTTCTTTCTAAAGTGAGTAAAAAAATGAATTTGGTATGGACATTTTTATTAAGGATTTTGCTACTTGTACATGAAAAATGTATGTAAGCGGTTGCCGAAAATGATATGGTGGGAAAATATTGAATGAAAAAGTTGACTGTGTTTTAAACTGACAAATGATAAAGTGTCATGTGGCAATAAGTAATCAATTATATGAATCTTGATGTACATGTAGCAAGATCATGTTATTAATATAAATCAGTTGAAGACTGCTCTCTATAATTTTGAGATGTGGAGTTAACTCAGTTGACTGCATATATTGTTTCAGATTACAAGAATTATGAGTACTCAGCTAGTTGAGATTCAGCCACAGGAGCTTAAGTTCGTAGGTAAGTGAAAGAAACGAAATCATGCAATTATGTAACTCGCGTGAATAGATATGTGAAGAATCCATTTGTTATGCTTTTGACGTCTAATTATGAAAGTATTCTTTGCTTGAGCACAATTAATAATTTAATCCTGGAAAGTAGGAGTACATAACATATTTGATGATATGGCAATTTGTTCATTATTTTTATTCTTTTAGGAGAATAGCTGCTTAAAGATGCATGAGCATAGTGGCTGCATTGACTTACATACGCTTATATTGTAGTGAATGGATTTTGGCTTTCCGGATATAATCATGACAGTTCCCATTCAATGTGGAATAATTTCTTTTCTAAATCTAACTTCCAAACTAAATTCCATGCTGCGAAGCATAAAATTATGAGCATCCACTGTACTTGGATACTTTTGACTTGCACAACCTCGTTCTGTTTTGTGGATACTTGAATAAATTGTGAGATGTATGCATCTGGTTTGACTTCTATTAAGCTCAAGGGCTATCGCTCCTAGAGTTTAAGATCACTCATCTATATTGTCTTGGTACTCACTCAGTGCTCTATGTTTGCCACTTTGTTGTAGACTTGTAGTGTTGTTGTATACTGATCAAATTACCTAAGGCTCTTCTCATATGAAAATAACCAATTATATGATAGCTAAGAAAACGGCATGGAAGCATTTTCCTTAAATGACGATTCTTCGCTTAGTCAATTAAAAAAATAAGAATCTTGCCAATACGTGCATGATTGAGTAATCATGATATATACAATTCAAATGACCGATGTTGTTATCTTATGTATTTTATTTCCCCTTCCATTTCTTATATGGGAAAATGTGAGAATGGCTTTGTTATATCTCCTTCCTTTCCTTTTTTGGTCTCACTATGCCTCCCGTTTTCCAAACTTTATAAATCATTTATAAATGGTCAACCTTCATCTTCAACCACACATTCCAAATGGACCAACAAGTATTATCCATTTACTTACCATTCATTTCTATCTATTTATAAATTAAACCATTTATAAACTCTTCCTAAATGGAGGCTATATTGTGATTTGTCAATTTCATATTACATTATTTAGATGATAATTATCGCGTTCTATGTACAATTTGTTACTTGGACAATTGCACGGCTCTGACTCTCCGCTTCCCTTCTTTAGTTGAGGCAATGAAACAAAGTTCGTGTATTGCTGACCTCACCAATGTCACCGATCAACATGTAGCTTTCAAGGTAGTAACTTCTGATCATGTACTCAGAGCACACTAATTCACTTAACTTGCATTTATTTGAATAGAATTTAAATTTAGTCTAGTGGCATCAGGCATGATTATCTCAGTTTTTAAGCATTCATTATTTTCGATTGTAAGGATTCCTATGGGAAAATGTGATGTAAATGCAAGCTTCTTTTTTCAAAGATAATTCTTAAAAGGCTGTGCAACTATATTGGCAGGTGAAGACCACATCACCGAAGAATTACTGTGTACGCCCTAATGTAGGCATAATCAAGCCAGAGTCAACATGTCCTTTCACAGGTTTGTTATAGTTTCATGTTGTATACCACTAATACACAACTATATGTGTGATTGATGGAGGCGGAAGTTTAAACAAGAAAAACACGGGATCACAAATTTTGTTCCAAGGCCATGCATAGCGTTTTGTAAAAGGAAACATATTTTTAAATTGGTTGAAAACCTATCTGTAGGCAGAGTTGATCCTAGGTATAGCTTAATGGAAGAGGTTCTTGTGGCTGATTCCAGACGGTAAGATATAAGGATCTTCATTTACTTCTGCCAAGAAAACCAGATTGTAAACTGTCAAAATATGAATAGAAGCTTATAGATATAAACCTAAACAGATGTCCCTTACATGATGGTTCAAAGTGTTTATATCCTATTCCTTGCGCCAGAAAGCTGAAGTTAGGAGTTTACTTGGATGCATACTTTGCAGATGTCAATCCCAGCTTCCAGCTTCTGCAAAGATGTCCACATCACATTATAAACAATTAGCTGTAAATGATAATTCTAAAATTTTCTGTGTCAAGCACGTTTCGCAGTTCCTTTTTTGCTTCACCCATGTTTATACCTTTATTATTTATATCACATAAGCTTCAGATGACTAGATGCATTTCATTTTTCAACCTGCATTTCTTGCTGCTGTTAGACTTCTCTATCTGCTAATTGATTTTTGCCATCTTCGGACATTCAGTTACCATGCAAGCACAGAAATCAGCTCCAGCTGATATGCAATGCAATGATAAATTCCTGATTCAATGTACAGTTGTGCCATTTGACACAACTGAAGCAGAAATTCCTCCCATGGTAAGAATATTCGAATTTGCATATTGTTTATGATTTCTTGCTCTTTCTTTTGCACTTTTGCAACAGATGATCAAAAATATTATGAAAGATTGATTTCAGTATTTTTTATTCCTTTTGTTCTGTCAGTTTACGAAAGATAGTAAAAACTATATTGAAGAGACCAAGCTTAGGGTTGTTTGGACTAGTCCACCTCAATCTCCAGTGTTTCTACCGGTTAATAGAGTTTTGAAGCCAGAACCATCTTATGAGACTTCAATGCAGAAAGAAAAATTGCAGATGGGAGTCGAAAATTCCCTCCCTGAGTTGGTGAGAAATTTGAATTTTACTTTACACGTTTAACCATGGGCAATCGAGGCAGGATTCGGGCAACTTATTCTTTTAACTTCAGCTTGATGAGAAAAACATGCTAGAACTGTTTTCTTGAACATGACTGAATGTGCTTTATCACTTGTATGACGAAGTTGCATCCCTTATTTGGAAAGAGGAAAAAGAAAATGAAGTGGTTATGCAATATCTATTTTATCATGTGTATCATATTATATCATGTGGTTTAGCATGTCTCATGACTTGAATTTTCATTTTAAGTGAACATCTTAAAATTTTTATATTGTAACTTCTGGGATAATATTAGTGATAGTAATCACTATGAAGTTTGACATCCGGATTGTAAGATTTCATTTTTCAATGAATTTTAAATCAAATATATTTCTTATTAGATTCAAGAATATTTTCCTGAGAGACTTAAATCTAATTATTAATTTTCACTGAGAGGCAGCTGGTTAAGAGTGGAGAGGATGTCAAAATGGCTGCAAACAAGGAAGATTCAAGATCTCCGAAGGCTGTGGAAAGTTCCAAGTTAGTCCCTACTAAGGATGAGGAGTTTAGCCCTAGCAAGCAGGAACCAAGACAAATTAAGGATGTGGAAGTGGCAAAATCAAGACAGGTTGAGGATGTAGAAGTGACAAAATCAAGAGAAGATCAGGATGTGGAAGTCACAAAATCAAGACACTTTGAGGATGTGGAAGTAAAAAGTTTATCAGAAGATGTTCAGGAGTTGAAAACAAAGATAAGTGCCTTGGTTTCAAAGCTAATTGAGGTTAGCCTTTTTATTGTTTATGCTGAAATTTGGAACCATGGAGGCACTTAAAGAGCGACATATATTTTTTTTGGAAGTAGGCACCAAAAAATATTCAATGTTGACAAGTTATAATCTCTTTCCTGCATCGTCTTCTCTTTTCTCAATGACTTCTACGCCTGCTGATAATATAGGCTATGTTCGAGCCCCATTTTTTGAAAAAATAGATTTTGTAATAGTGAGGTTTTTGGAGAATGTGTGATTATAAAGCAATAAAAAGTTTTGGGTTTCTGTGTAAAATAACATTATCGAGAAAATGTGTGGTTGAAAATGAGTTTGTTGGAAAAAAAAAAAGGTTTTGAGAAATGGGGATAAAACAGGGGTATATATGCACTTATGTTGTTCGCTTACCCCACATGATTCTGATCTTTTTTGTAATTTCACAGCTATATTTCATAAATTAAATGCATATTAGTGTTGGAAGAAATATTGTGGTTTAAAGGCCTCTTCTTGGAAATGGGACGGGAAAGAAAGTGCTACACTGTTGACTGACCCTATTTTCTCATTTCGTCAATTAATGTTCATTTATGCTTCTTCAGAAAATGCTAAGCACTGTTACCTGTTATTTCTTTACAGGCTGAAAGTACCATCATGAAGCTAAAAGAAGAAAAATGCAGTACCATTCATGAGAAGGAAACATTAAAGCAAGAATTGGTTGGTGACATCCTACACTACTTTTATTCTCTCTATCTTGTTTTAAGATATTGTTAAATTTAAGCTAGTCAAAGCCACTTTTTATTCACACCCTATGGAACTCGCAACTTAAATTTTTGATATAAGCACTCACCAGTGGGGATAATTTACCTATTCTGGTAAACAAGGGAATTATCAGGTGTTTCAAGGAAAATACAGAGGGTGAACACCCCCCCCCCCCCCCCCCCCCCACAAAAAAAAAAAAAGTTGGCNCCCCCCCCCCCCCCCCCACCCCCCACAAAAAAAAAAAAAGTTGGCCGGTACCCTATTAAATGCATCGGTGGGCTATAGTATTCATCAATTTGAATGCCAACTTCTTGCTTGTTGACATATGGTCTCTATCCATCTTTACAGGCAATGTTGAGGAGATCGAAGAGTAAGAATAAAGTTCAAGTTGGTTTCCCCCCGCTGTTCGTTTGCATGGTCGCCATGATTTGTCTCCTTGTCGGGTTCTTGTTACGTGCTAAGTAAAAAAATTATGCTCGAGTAGGAAGAACTATAATCCAGTATGCTATATGGTGGAGGGGTAGTGGCTGGTTGCCTGGTTTATTATGCCTTCTTTTGTACTATAATAATTGTTAATAGGTCTCAACTATATTTTTCAATAATGAATGTAAAAGAATTGTAATTTCTTCGAACAATAGAAAATGCGAGTAATTTTTTACACATTTCTCTGCTCAACATTATGAATTCTAAGCTTATACATTGTTGTTCAGCGGAATGGATATTATCAATAAATTTCCTCGAATACCCGATAATGTCTCACATAAACGCAGAAAAAAATTATAATTGCATTATGATTGTAGCTCAAAAAATATGATGGTTAAAACAACTTAGATAAAGTCACACACAACGATTTGTGCTTACAAAATATACACCGATTTGGTGTTCCAAAACCTCGCCCAGGGAGGGGAAAACCTGACCGCATTTCCCAAAAAACAAACTATTGGGTCAACAACTGCCCAGAGGGGAAACAAAAACGAACCAATACCACTGCAATGAATAAATTTGTGCAAACTATGCTAATTTAGGCACCGCCATCATCCACACGAAAAAGAACACTCGATAATATTAACAAACGAATGCCAAAACCTGATTGAATGAGCCACCAGAGACTATATGCTTAGTGTTTGGCCTCTCCTTGCCATTGATGCACACTTTGTTCGATTGGAGAGCCTGGAACATATGGTACAAAACCCCGTCCACCAAAAACAGGACGCATGAAGCCATCATCAAATTTTCTCCAATAATAGTGGACAGTGTGTGTAGGTTTCCTCAAGAGCATCCGTAAACTGCTTGGACGGATCCCATTTCGATCACCTCGATTAGTTTCTGAATCCTGACTGTTCACAATATTTTGTTCGTCCAGATCAACTTCAGGATCGTGTTCATTGCCAAGAAGTGGTACAATGAAGGATTTTGGAGTAACTGGCTCTGAAGAGATCATTCTGCCCAATTGCTTTGATGAGGGAAGCAAGAGCCTCACCAAAGGTTTAGTAATCAAGCCAAACACCTGCAAGTCGTTAAAAGAATAATAGCAAATGATTTATAATGAAACATTAAATTGAGTGATCGTTTCTGAAATTACACTTATAGCATGTTTGGCTTACCTTAAAAAGAGTAAAATTACTTTTTTTATTTTCTGAAAGTTTACAATAAAATCATGGTTGGTTTACTGAGTAAAATACTTTTTTGTGGAAAGTATTACCTATAGAAAAGTAGGTTCTTAAACTAAAAATTGCCCAAAACAGGTAATTTCCACACAAGCTCAAATGTGTTCGGCCAAAAAGGTTGCTTACATGATCTAAGTGTCAAGGAAAAATATTCATATAGCCGATCCAAATTTATAAGAAACAAGGCTTAGTTTTGTTGTTTTTATATATTTTTTTTCTCTTCCACGTACTAACCTAAACATTCCTGCAAAAGCTTAACATGTCTTACCACAGTACTGAAAAGTACAACAGATATTGTACTAGTTATCATGATGGCGTTCCCATGTCGCTGAGTATGTCCTGATCTTGTAAACTGCATAAAATAAAAAATTAACGACTCGGTCAGATGATTCCTGTATTATAGAATATATAATCACCATCCTTTCACCCTTTCCTTAGTTGGAGCCAAAGTGGCAATAGAAAAGCACTACACAGCAGTGTATGTTCATTTTGTGCACAGTATATTTTCTTTCCCTGATGCAGAAAAGAGAGCATCACAGAAATCTGTGCTCATCTTGAGCATTTATATATATATTTTTTCCCCTGGAATGAGTTTTTTCTGCAGTGTACAGCATAACCACCCCAAAACAGATATATACAATAATTTACCTGATTATAAGCAAGGGCCATGGAAACAGCTCCTCTCATAAGACCAGCCCACCACACTGTGACCTGCAGATAAAAATTGGTAAAATTATTAGGAGGGCCAAGCAAATGAAGAATCTCATATGGTTGAAATAAGAATATTTGAGCTCATACTTGCTGCTTAAAGCTAATTTTTTCATATGGAGACTTCCTGGTCAAGTTGGACAAGAATGATAAAGGAAAAACAAAGGCTGCTCTTCCAACCAAAATCAATCCTAGGAGAATAGAGGTCACGGATACCGATGTTTTGGGGCTGACAATTGAGAAGGAAAAGAAGAATTAAGAAATACATCCAACCAGCAATATATAAAATCCCCATTACTATTTGAAAAGTGCTTTTTGGGATTTCAAAAGTTACTAAAAACCTGAAAAAAAAAAAAAATTAACTTTAAAGCTTAGCCTAACATGTTCCTAGTCCAGAAAAGATGTCACAGCGACTATTTTCAATTACGTAGCAACCATACCTGTCACTTATAAATCTCCATTTCTCAATGTCAAGGGCATCCATACCGACATAAAGAAATATGAATATCTCAGCAACAAATGACAGTGTTGCAAAGGTGTGCCTGTGGAAGAGTTGATGATATACATTAATATAAATCTATCATGGGGAAGAGAAAGAAACATAAAAGAACCAAACATGTCTCAAATGGTCTAGTATTATAAGAGAACCCATACTTGGTGGTGACTCTTGAGCTCTCAGTGACATTATGCCAGGTATAGTGTGACATCACGATCCCACAGAAGAATACAGTGAGAATAGCGCTTAAATCACATAACTGCATGATATATCAAGTTGGAGAGTTAACACCTAAATTCAAAAGTGTGGAGCTTCAAATATAACACCTAAACAATGCAATGTTTAAATAAATTACTTCGGCGAGCATGTATGAAAGGTAAGCCATCAGCATCATAATAGCAACCTCACGATCAGTGGAATGCCTGGAATTGATCAGAAATGAGTCGTAAAAAATTTAATAGTAAAGAAATCACCTGTTGGCGTTCATCTTAACGAATGATTAATCAAAAACCAAGCATCAAAGGATTAACAAAGAACCACTGGCAAGCTTTCAAAATTTTCATCGTGTGGTATGGTGGGGACAAGCACATGTGGCATACAAGAATTCTATTCCTTGGTTGGAATCTGATGTGCCTTATGAAGTTTTTCAAACTCTCGTGCAAACATAAATTTTTTAAAAAAATAAATTTATAAATTAAACTTAATTGAGGGCGAGAGGAAATATCACTACTGTGGAGATTAAACACAGACCTTCCAAAATACAGTTTCTTTATGACATATGCACTAAGCAGCCCAGCCTGCAGTAGAAGTACAAATGTTATAACTTACCAATACTGTAATTCAAAAGAATTCAAAAGCACAAATGGCACACGACCCCTAAAGAGGGGTGAGGAAGGAAGGAGACTTACAACAACTCCCAACACTGTGCTTGTAATAAATAAATATAAAAAATTTCCAACTAGCTGCAGAGCTACACTTGTACTGATATGAGAAAGGTCAAAGTTCTGGACTGCATTGAAAAGCACCACAGACGTCGCATCATTTACAACGCCTTCGCCAAACACTAGACTGTATAGTAAGGGAGTCTCATCCTGATTAAGCACCTGCACCATCAGAGTTGATGCATAAGGCTATCATTTCTGATTCTAAAATCAACAGCACAAAGTAACAAAATATGCCTGCAAGGTGCAAACAGAGTCTGTCGCAGCGAAAATTGCTCCAATTGCTGGAAAAAAGAGAGTATAGTGAGTTACAAGAAATTATTAGCTACAATTTAAAGGGATTACAGAGAGAAGTACCAAGATAATCTCCTATTGCAAGACCAAGATTCATTTTCTGGAAAAAGGTAATGGCCCCTGGTACAAAATTTAGAGACTGTAATCAACAACAGATCTTCATTTATACTCTCAATGATGAAACAAATGGAATTCTGACAGTAAAAAAAAATCTACAAAATAAATTCTTTTCTTTTCAATTCTTTCCTCAAATGTTTCCAGTCTATCCTTAAAAAACGAGCACCACTTCAGCAGAGAAAGCAGGACAAAAATGTTGATATAAATCATATTGCTTGAAGTTGCTCACTCTCTCGTGCATGTCTCTTCCAGCAAATTTTTTTTGCTAAATTAGGATCTATATGATAATAAGATAAAATTACAAATTTGGAGCTACACGAAGGACTGGAGTCTGACAACAATTGCGTCAATTAAGCAAAAATATCCAAGAGAGTGTCTCATTTATGTGATGTTTTACTAAAGAATTTCACTTTAACTGCCATTTTTAAACAGAAGAAGGGTGCAGAACAAATTCGAGAACAGCATGTAAGAACGTTCAAGAATACAACCCAGACTTTTACTAACATAAACTCCACTTTTCATGGTAAAAAGTTAAAAAAAGGAAATGGAAGAACATTGTCATCTTTTATCATAGGATTTAAGCATTAGCTTGTTCAAAAAAATATGCGCGCACACAGACATTCCTTATGCTGTTTGTATCTCACCATAAACATCGAAACGTTTAGCATGCATATTAAGAGAAAGCAGCACTTTGCTATTTGGATATAAACAGTAATAACAGAAGAAAAAAGGATTTACCCAATGATATGATGATGAAGGATATCAGAGTACCAATTGCTCCAAACAGCGTTATAGTCATAAAATTGCGAAAGAACTGTTTCTTTTTAACCTGGAACCTGATTATTAGAGCAAAGCAAACCATGTAACTTAGCATCATCATTGCATATATAATTGCTGTTTGCTAACTTGGCTAATACTTACTAGTCAAATTTTGTTAAAAATTAAAAAAAATCGCAATCTCATATACAGGTTCCTCATTGTTGTTTTAATAAATCGTATCATGAAAATTACTAATACAAAACCTGATAGTACTTTCCAATTCATAGATTCCAAATAAAGGAAGTCTTAATAAAACTAATAATACAAGAACCACTATTCTCCAAATCAAGGAATAGAATGCTTAAAATGCTTTACATACCCAGCATTAAAAATGATTGGTGGAAGCAGATAAATGAAGAAAAGGTCCTCACTAAACACCAAAAGATGCGAGTTTTTTCCTCCAGTAATTAATAGAATCACAACTCCAGTGCATATACCCTGTCAATTAAATGATCAATATGGATTAAAACACGCATATGAAGAGTAAAACATTTTTCCAAAAACCCACGCGTGTGCACAAACCAAAACACATACATTACATAGAAGTCCACTTATATGTGTATATACACTTACAATTACAAGCGCAGTAATGGATTCATTCATCCAACGATTCTCCTCCAATAGATGACCGATCACTATACAAGCGCACAGGAGCGCTACAAATAAGTTAATGGAGACCACTGACGAATGATCAGATGTCGATAGATTGGTCATCTTTTCTAATAAAGTTCCCAAAACAAACACCATTTTTCTTCAAAAGTTCAAATTCACCAATTAATATTGAAACCTGAAAGTTGCATATGCAGAATTTTGATCTCTTTACTTCACATATAAAGCTGAGATCAAATCCACAGCCAATCAACCCTGCAATTGGAACAATAAGTATTACTCCTATTAATAAACGAAATCAATTAAAGCTTAAACTTTTTAAAATGCAGTAATTAAGAATGAACCAAAAATAAAAAATTTTTACATGCTTCAATCATTCATACAAACACCAGCTATACAAGCAAAATTACATACATATCCATGCATAAACACAGAAGCCGAGAACTCACCAGAGAAAATTGGACAAATGCTTCAAAATACAAATTAGATAAGATCCAAATCTGAAGCTAAAATGCAAAAGGAAACTGAATTTTCTCAACACAAAGTAATTCCAAAATTACCCGAATTTAGGCAAATCAAAGAAAACTTATAACTCGAAAATGCAGAGAATTTCTGCAGAATTCAATCAAATCACATATATAAACTTTTGCTTTTGAGAATTCAAGTTCCCGATTCAAAATTTGCTTCTGCAACGGGCGAAATGAGGATTCAAGAAAGAAAAATAAGTACTTCTCCCAGAATCACTTTTCAAAATCTTTGAAATTTGAGTTTTTCACAAAGACAAACGAAATTTCTTGACTGGGGAAACAGCAAAGGGAGGGAGGGAAATCGACAGGGATGATAATAATATGAAAGGGTAATAGACATATTTATACCGCCACTACTTTATTGCATGTTTGGCTAAGCTTCAAGAATGTGCTTATAAGTAAATTTTAGACAAAACTACATTCCATAAAATTACATATTTATACCGCCTCTACTCTAATATATATATACATATATTGCATGTTTGTCCAAGCTTCAAGAATTTGCTTATAATTAATTTTTAGATAAATTATTTTTTTTGTATTAGTCAAGGTTATAAGTTTATTTATAAGTAAGTTTTAGAAGTACAATTTATAAAATTAAACAAGTTATTAATTTAGTTCATATTTTCGAATCGTCTTGGACATTGATCTAAAAGGTAAAGATTCAAGAGGAGTCGAGCATTGTTCAATATAGTTGAAAAAATTAAGGTTTTTTAAGGAGAATTGGATTCCTCCCATATAACAATCTAGTTCTTAACTTATTTAATGCATTATAACATTTCGGATTTTAACATATAACCAATCTGGTTTCTATGTTGTTTCTCGATTTTTTAGTCAATCTCGTTTGATTTGGACAAAATTGATATTGTGCACGTTTAGCAAAGTTTATAAGATGATTAAACTTTATTTTTATCAATATAATATGTAAGACCTACAGTTTTTACTTATCTTTCAATCATACATTCCATATTGTCGTTTTAGAAGCAAAAATTCACTTACAAGTAAATGGACTGACTTTTGAAATTAGGCAAACATGTGTTAGTGTGTCTCTATATAGGTTTTGTTTGTGTGTGTGGAGAGAGAGAGGAGGAGGAAATAATACGTATAAAAGTACATTTGGAGTGTTAGCGGCCGTACATGATATGATATTTTGATATTGACCGTTGATCTTTTGTTGGGGGGTGGGTGGGGTCGGGGAAGCTCAATATCTATCTATGATTGTGTCGGGTTTTGGAATCTTTGATTTTAGTTATTAAATTGACAACTTACCTTAGCCAAAAAACTTTTATTCATTGCTATCATTAAAAACTAAAGTCTTAGGATTCCATTTTTAGTACTATGTTTTATAAAGGTGTTACCGTTGGGCCATTTTTGTTATTTACACCAGTACGTCACTCGAAGATATTGATTATGTTCGATTGTTGTTAAAATTTATTTTTATATTTCTCAATTTTGAGACGAGCATATATAATGTGTGTTTTTCAAGTATGTATTAAGTGTCTGTTTGATATACATTAATTTATTTTATGATTTGCTATAAGATCCTTTTCAATCACACATTCATACAATAAAACGTTATACACGTCTACTAAAAACAATTTCCTATATTTTAATCACATTCTACTCAAAACTAATTTTTTTTCCCAATTAATGAGAATCAAACAGGCTCTAAGTTTCAATATGTTCAGTGTGCTTATATGAATTCATCTTAAATCATCGATTCGAACAACAAATCGTAAAAGTTATGAATGAAGTATGGTGAAACCCAAGTTCGTCCGTTATGCAATCAAGAATTCAAGTTAGACCGAACCCTATGCGAAAGCCAACTAGACTATGCGTACGACCTCAAATTTTTAAGGATCTCAAAATTTTCAGAATCGACAATAATTCAAGTAGATTGTTTTCGCTCAATAAGTTAAGGATGCGTTAGTAGAAAAAATTGAATAGTATTTAGTTATAATATTTAATTTTATTGATCACTACTTATCGAACATGCCATCGGGAGAAAATGGAAAAAATGTAACATGTTCATACACACACATGTATAAGCACATTGGCTTTTCAAATTTCACACGATAACTGGATAAGCTTGAAATAATAGTTTTGTCCTGCTATTTAATGCTTACGAAAATACTTATTTTGGCAGCAGAAAATGCCAGTTTACATGACAGCAAACTGCCTGTCATTAATTTTGACTTTCGAGTAATCTCGTCTGGCTTATCTTCTAGATTAATTTTGGACTTATTGTCTTTTTCTCCAGAAATTAGTATAAATTGTTCCTATAGTTTGCCACCTTTCCTATAATCATCCATATTGTTTCAATTTTAGCGGTGCACCCTCATATCAATCTTTCATTGCGAAAAATGATCATTTTTCGTATAATTTCGTACATTTTTTTTTGTTAAATAAACACATGGTTTGCACATGATAGAAATTATAAAGGTAAAAATGTCAATGGACTTAGTCCATATCATTATTTTATAAAAATAATATAAAAAATGAAGAATAAAAGAGGGAAACAAATCCCAAAAAAAAATGTTTTCTCCCCAGTCACTTCCTCGACTCAACCGCCCTCACCCATGCAGCCGATGTGGGCAAAATGATCAAACCAAATCAGATCAAACCAGAATCAAACCAAATCGAGATGTTTGTTGGTTCCATTCGATTTTACAAAAAAAGTTAATGATTTTGATTTTTAGAACCAAGAACCATTTGATTTTGGTTCCATTTTCTAGAACCAGAACCAAGAATCGAGCTCAATTTTTATCAGTGAATCACAAAAAAATTGAATTTTTGTTAGTAATTCATTCGTCTATACTTGTGAATCATTGTTATTAGATAATTTTTGTATGGCTGATGGAATTTGATGTTTATTTATTCAAATTATGACTGCTTTGTTTGTCAGTTTGGACTTTTGTGAATGAATTTTATTACACAATATTTCATTTGATGATTGATAATTTAAACTTGAATTTGTTAAATATTTGATGTTTATTTTATTGATTTAGGCATATATTACTAACTTATGAATATAGTGATAGATTTTAATTTGTATTTATCATTTGAAAATTTAAGTAATGGAACCAGAACCAAACCAAACCAAACCAAAACCGAATGGTTCAATTCCGATTTGGTTCCATATATTTTTAAAAAAATATTATTAATCTATTATAAAAAAATCATTGGTTCATTGTTCGGTTCGGTTGGTTCTCTTGAAACTTGAATCAAATGGAACCATGTTCACACTGCAACTCACCAACCATAACTACCTCCCTCACAAAGAAATTTAAAAAATAATTAAAAGTTAAGATCAATAGGAGACTTAAACCCCAAAACTCACTTTTTCTTAGCATAAGATAATCGACGATATTTAATAGATCATTTTTTACATATAATCCATGTACCTACCAGTAATGAAGCAGTCACACCTCTCGTATGATTTCAGGATTGCTCTTGATGAGGATGAAAATTTACCGGTAGGTACATGGATTATCAGGATTCAAAACCGCTCTTCAATTTTGACTGTCATATGCAAAATCTAAAAGAGCGTCCCTTTTTAATATAATTTTAAAAAAAACACACACACACACACACAAAGAAAGAAAACTAGAAGATGAAATCCTTAGTTGATTCCCATTGACAAAAAAATTAAAGTTTCAAATAAAATATTTTTATTATGCTTATTCTTAGTTCTTCTCAATCTTATTTCTTCCGAGGTGAAAAGAAATATATGTAATTCAACCATTTTTCATACTAAATATTCCCACGATAAGGAAAACATCTAATCTAAAAATACAACGAAATTTGAGAAAACGATTGCTCCCGTAAAACCTCGTAAATTTGATACAAAAATGGTACAATCCACAACTCTTAAATTTAATTATTAACACAAATAATAATATCAGCCAAAATATTAATTTAACAACTTTGACTATTAACTATAGATTTGTTCATTCGAAATATTAATTTTGTGAACTTTGATTATTGAATATAGATTTTTTATAAATATAAAAATAGCATTGATGGGATGGGACCAAAAGTGCAATATAATCAAGACAACACTAACAAATTGTCTTGCCACTCATGGTGCAAAAAATGTTTTGAGTGTGGTATGTCTAATATCATATGCGCCTATAGGAAACTCAACATATTGTAGTGCCCACTTGGTACGATTGTTTGTCGGAATGGACAATATATAAAATGCCCACTTTTGTGGCAAACAAAGCCATAATTTCTTGTTTGCTTTGTGGTTAATTAAACAATTTCAAAGTCTAATTATGATCCAATGGTCCACATGATGATATTACGTGCATCCAATGGCCCACATTTGAAGTTGATGGTTCCATGATTCTTGGGTTATTTTAAGTGTTTGGCATGCATACAAGGTAATGGAAGTCAATTCCAAATTCTCACGCCATTGTTGTTGGTATGATTTTTTGAGAGGGCAAATTTTCATCATTTGATTATGGTTATTGCTAAGTTCATTTTTTTCCCCTGAATTTCAAATTATCATTAATTATGTAAGCGAATATAATTTTTGAAGTCCGCCGTTTTATACTTACATCCAAAACGATCTTC